ATAGGGATAGGGATAGGGATAGGGATAGGGATAGGGATAGGGATAGGGATAGGGATAGGGATAGGGATAGGGATAGGGATAGGGATAGGGATAGGGATAGGGACGGGGATGGACACAACAACATGGATCAGTAGAATGGGAAAAGGGGTGGGAGAAGCTTTTGGATGCATCCTGACTCACAGGAAGATGACCTGCAGGCCTGGCTGGGAGTAAGGATGGGCAGCTGAGCATGAAGCTGGCGTGGGCAGCATGGCTGGTGGGACCACAGTGGCCTCTCAGCTGGAGGTTATGGTGATCCCTGTCTCCTCAAAGACCCTCTGGAAGGCAACCTGGAGGGACACAATGGAGCAGTGCCTCCAGCAGCTCCCCACCAAGAAGTAGATGAAGGGGTTGATGCTGCTGTTGATGCAGGCGAGCAGGAAAACCACCTGGGAGGACACAACGGTGTGGTTGAGCTGCTGCAGGAAATTCCAGAGGCTGAGGGGCACTCCAAAGGTGAGGAAGAAGAGCACAGTGAGGAAGATAACGATATAGAGCCTCTTAGGCTGACGTCTCTTGGAGCCACACTGCACCTTGATGAAGAGGATCACATTGGAGATGACCATGGGTGGAGCAAAGATGAGGAAGCTGAGGGCGTACATGGAGATGAGAGCCACCTGGCAGTGCTCGTGCTCGTGTGACAGGCACAGGGAGGTCACCACGACCATGACAGCGATGGAGAGTGCCCAGAGCAGGGCACACACCACCCATGACAGGCGCTTGGGACGGTGGCAGCGGTACCAGAGGGGAAAGAGAATCGAGCCACACCTCTCAATGCTGATGGCTGCCAGCAGGTACAGCCCCATGTTGTAGGAGAACAGGGACAGCAGGAGAAGGGACCTCAGGTACTTCAGGGACACAAGAGTGGAGCAGGACACGTCATCCAGCAGGTAGAGAAGGGAGTAGGGGAACATGAAGAGAAGGAAGGTGAAGTCAGCAACTGCCAGGTTGAGGATATAGACGGTGATGAGGTTCCTGCGGATGTGGAACCCGAGGAGCCAGAGGACAGCCCCATTCCCAGCCAGCCCATAGAGGCAGATGAACAGCGTGACACCGTCCATGGCCACATCGGTGACATTGATCCCACAGGAATCATCTCCTTCGGTGTCCATCACAGGAGATGAGGGAGGTGGGGACATCTGGGTCAGCTCCATGTAGAAGGTGGGATGAGGTCCCCAGCTGTGGTCAGAGCAGAGGGGCATTAGTAGGACCCCAGGGGATGTGACAGGGAGAGGGGTTCTGGTGAGGTGGCACATCAGGGCTGGGGACAGGGGGCTATGGGGTGACTAGAGGTGAGGTGAGGGCAGAGGGAGGGTTGGATCAATCCAGTCATCCTGATTGAGGACAGGTGAGAGGGGCTTTGGGGACATCAAGGGAGACACAAGCAGTGCCCAGGGCTGGACTCTGGTCTCAACCCCCTACCTTTCCTTGGGGCCAAGCTGTTGGTGTATCTGAGCAGGGCACACTCCCTCCCTCCGGTGCTCCTCGCCACAATCTTCTCCAGTGAGGAAAATTGGGGTCTCCACGTCCTCAGAAGCTCCAAGTAGCCTATTTGTCCCCAAATAAAGCTGGTTTTGAGGGTATTTCTGCACAATCACGGATCAGGCACTGAGAGCACTGGGCAGCTGCACACAGGCTGCCTCTTCTCCCGTCAAAATTCTGTTGGTCTTGCGGGAAAGGAAATGTTTTGTCCAGGCAAATACCCCAGAGGACAAACACTGCAGCAGTTACATCTTGCTGTGAAAGAATCTTGATGCTTTTAGGATTCAACCTGATGTCTCATTAGACTAGTAATTGCCACCTTCCTAATTGTTTGATGGTGCTCCAGCCTCCTCTCCCCATCCTGCCCCGATGCTGGCATCCTTCTGAGATTGTTCATTACTGCATGCATTTGCCTCCCAGCCTCCCAGCATGAGAACCCCTCACCTCCGACTTCATCCTGCATCAGGCCTGGGTGAGAATTTGGAATCTGTTGTCTGATGTGAATCACTTTGGGTTCACTCCAACTGGTCAGGGGGCTCCAGAGCCCTCCTGGACCGGCTGGTACCCACTGAGAGAGCCTGGAGAGGCTGGTGGCAGATGAAGGGACAGCAGGGGACAGCACACACGATCCCACCATGCATCCAGAAGCACCCATTCACCCCCAGCAAAGTTTTGGGGTGGCAGAAGAGGGCACATACTGGAGGGGAGAGGGTCTTGGGGACATCCAAACAGGGTGATGGGGGACATGACTGCTGGGATGGCATGTCCCCAAGCAAAGTGGGGTGTCATAGCCTGTGTTGGAATCACTAGGAGACAGGGGGCTGGTGGCTGCCCCCTCACCCAGGTGCTGCTGAGCTGGGTGCTGGGGACAGAGACTCGTGGCAGGGCAGGGCTCAGCATGGCACCGCACGGGTGTGACAGCAGGGGTGGCAGCGGGTGGCTGTGAGTCACCCCCCGCGCCGTGCCTCCCTCCACCCCTGGACTTTGCCTCCCGCGGATGCTCAGGGCAATAAATCCCAGGCTCGGAGGCGGGAGTGGGGCGTCGGGGAGGGCACAGGGGTCCCATCCCAGGGGTGTGGGGGCTGAGCTGTGCAGGGGGATCTGCACGGAGAGTGCATGAGCGGGATTGGGATGGGGAGTGGGATGGGAATAGGAGTGTGTCACAGGCAGCGGGCAGGAGTGCGAGGGAGCATGACACAGGCAGGCAGGACATGCAGGTGGCAGTGTGACGCTTGTGCAATGCGAGGACCTGCCGGGAGAAGGTCACCTGT